GTTCTTTCAATAGACCTACTTCATTTTTATTACACACAAAGACAGAGGTTATACACAAATAAACAGTTGCAAAATCAAAATGGCAAAATATAACAGATCTAAAGACTGATCTGGATTACTCAAAAAGAAAAGAACAAAGAAAATCAAAGACACAACGATGATTTAACACCCACATTTCATGTCCGCTTCACTTCTCTACTCTAAGCCCATACATGGCATATAAACAAAAGCGATGCACTTACTCCCTAAAACTACTTTCTCTACTGACACCATTTTCTACGTCTGGGTATGGTCTTAGATTTAATATGTAATAACTTGCTCTATAACTTGTTAAGGAATGAACCTTTAATTAATATACCAAAAACAAAACAGAAAAAACACACATCAAAATTATTAATACAACATTTTATCAAGGTCGCTTTAAGAGCCTGTTACAAGTATTTTCTAACAGTGTGCATTGAATCGGAGAAACAAACAAAACTAAAGTCAATGAAGAATTAAACTCACAAAATTATTTAATTATTTAAGTACACTTTGCTGTGCTCATTATCAGCTCTACATTTACAATAATGATCATTTGGGACTCTGCCGGGTCCAACATAGCCAATGGCTAGTAACAAAGTTTATCGGGAAGTTGACTGTGTGTGAGTGTGCAAATTACTTATTTGTTTCTGAAAATTCTGCATGGTAAACACTTAAATCTTGTTTTTTCTCAATTTTTTTAATGTCACGTATTTGTCTATACAACTTCTTGGTCTTCACTGCCATCTGCTGGATGGTTTGTACAACTACAACTAGTGATGATGACAGTAATAAGCAAGACGCACTCAGGGAGCCCAAACTTAAGCCAAGGCAGCTCCTTGGGCAACATTTACTTTTAAGGGGATAGCATTGTATTTTGTGTATGTCTATTTTGTTGTCTTTCTTCTTTTTTAGAAAGAACCGTGGCTCAGGGGGTCTTTATTGTTGTCTTTATTCTGTTGTTTGTTGTAGCTGCCTCCACCAGTGAGTGAATGTGAGAATGATTGAATAGTGGCATTGTAAAGCGCTTTGGGTGCCCTGAAAAGCGCTATATAAATCCAGTCCATTATTATTATCCATTATTACCACACTTTAAAATTTAAAGTGTGGTAAAAATAACAGATTTTGGGGTCAACTTGAAAGAAAGACGGATGTGAAATGTAAAAGTGAGGTCAGAGGTCAAGTGTGAAATATTTAGAGACTTTATATAATCATTCCCAATATTTGCTATTTGTTATCAGTACAAACAATGGAAGTAAGAAACATAGTTTAAATAGCATTATTATCACTATGACCTTCAGATCAATCTACTGACATGTTGACCTCCTGAATTTTGAGCGTCACATACTTTCCCGTCTGTCTTTTCTCTAAAAAAGCAGCTTCATCTTCTTCCTGAGCTTTTCTTCTGCAGCGACATAGAGGAACGGGTTGATGCAGCTGTGCAGCAGAGCCAGGCAGTGGGTGGCAACCAAGGCTGTGTTTAACGACCTCCTCGTATCACAGTCATCCTGTACCAAATCAGCCCTCAGCAGTATGTCTATCACCATGGTTATCTGGTATGGTGTCCAGAGGAGCAGAAACGCAACCACGATGGTTATGATCACCCGCATGGCTCGGTGCTTCTGGAAACCGTTGAGTGAGCAGCAGCCGTGAAACAGTGATGCTGTAGCAGGAGATCATGACAATTGCAGGGACCAAAAAGCCAAAAACACGAATGAACCCCTGAATCGCGAGGCTCCGTGCGGTAGAGATGCCGATGTCAAAGCGAATGGAAAGAGTAGGCAGAGCAAGGGCACAACCGAGAACCCACACCACTGTGCAGAGGATCCTGCTGCACATCTTTTGGTGACTCTTGAGTGTCTCCCTGGCGTGCACAATCACAAGGTAACGATCGATGCTAATGCAGGTGAGGAAGATGATGCTGGTGTAGAAGTTCGCATCCATGACGATGTGGAGGAGTTGGCAAAGGAAGTCTCCTAAGAGCCATCCTCGAGTTAGTGCTGCAACACAGAACTGAAGCGTTAAAGCCAGCAGTCCATCTGCTATGGTCAGTTGGAACAGGTACACATCTGATGGAGCTAAAATTTCTTGGCTGGTTCTGATCACCCATCCTACCAGCAGGTTTCCGAATATGGCCAATACAGAATTGACTGTGAAGATGACGCACAGGATCACAACTGCTGTAGGTTCCAAAGGTTCATATCCACATTCTAAGGTATCTGGATCTGGAGAGAATGATTCACTGGATTCGTTGTAATCATAGGAACAATTGTTCCAAAAGAAATCATCTTCAAAGACATAGACAGATGACATGGCTGTGGACAGAAAACAATGATATTTTAACCATTGCAATAAAAGCAATGGTTTAGCCAAAAGAAACTATACAAAAAACAAAAACAAAAATCAAACAAACTGGAAGTGTATGCACAAAAATAAAGAGAGGACAACACCAACTTCGGATCTTATCCTGAAAATGATCAAGACTTGACTGGAAGTCATGCACAAGACATCGCAGCTCCTTTTTCATTTTGATGTTTTCATTTGCTTTGAAGTTTCTGATAGATGCTGATCAAACAATTTTAGGACCATGAACAGCACGAGCCCGTTCTCACTCCCGAGGCGTAACATGCCGACGTTTTGTCACGTCCCGCGGCGTTCCTGAGGAACGCGAAAGGAGAC